AACAAGAGAAAGAAAGAGAAAGGCGTTAAAATTCTCAATTACATTAACTCGATTCCGGTCGGTCCCCGTGTCACGGCAAGCTAGGAGGGGAGTTAGTTAAGAGAGAACCGCTATTGGATTAGCGAAGCCGCCAACCCAGCCGGTTTACCTTCTCGAGTCCTCGTATCTGTGCCTTCGTCGTTTGCACGTCGTACAAATCCCTTAAGCGAACTCGCAATAAAGCGCGGTTTATCGTTCGCCAAACGCAGCTACGTGCTTGTGCCAAACGCGAAAACTCCTCTTCGCTTCTCCCGACACGTCGAAGATAAAGACGTACGAAACGAAACGAAACGAAACGAAACGAAAACGAAAACGAAAACGAAAACGATCGACTTAGATACCCACTACATAGTAAGTATATCTTTCTATCTTTCTTTTTTTTTTTTTCTTTTTTCTTTTTTCTTTTTTCTTTTTTCTTTCTTTCCCTTACTTACTTTCTTTCCTTCGTAATTTCTTTCTTTCTTTCCTTATAAGTATTCTTTCTTTTTCTTTTTCTTTTTCTTTTCTCCTTTCCTTTCCCCCTTCCTTCTCTTTATTCCTCTTTTAATAAGCAAAGAAAAAAAAATTGACTTCTCCTCGATACATCTTAATATCAATTCATTTTCTTTTCTTTTTAATTTTTTTCTTTTTCCTTCTTTTCTTTCTTTTCTCTTTTTTTTCCTTTTTCTCATCTAAGATCATTCTGTCCTCTTTTATCTCGTCATAATATATATATATATATATATATATATATATATATATATATATATATATATATACATATCGACCTTAATTGGACGGCCAAGATTGATTACTTATTACAATGGTAAATATTTCATAGGTAATCGTATTTCTCATTTATTCGTATCATATTTTTATGAGAATTCTCACAAGAGAATATATCGGATTCGAATGTCGAAAAGGAAATAATACGCGACGCGTGTGTGATATGGCGTTTGAAAGATAAAAAGAAAAGAAGAAAAAAAAAAAAAAGAAAAGAAAAAGCACACGATAGCCATAGTCGAAGACGTACGGGGATATCGAAAATACGATAGAACGTTCGACTTTAAAACTTTCGACGAGAATTATTTCGTGTTTCTCGAAATTAATACGTAAAAAAAAAAAAAGAGAAGAAAAAAAGAAGAAAAGAAAAAGAGAGAAAAAAATCGCACGCTCGATTGTTGCATGAGTTTTATAAAAAAAAAAAAAAAAAAAAAAAAAAAAAAAAAAAAAAAAAAAAAAAAAGAAAAAAAAGAAAAAAAGAAAAAGGACAATAAGTCCAGAATATAACGCGATAAGATAAATATCATCTGTGCGATCGTTCGATAATTTTCGCGATATCGCGAGCCAAATGTGTATCTCTCTCTCTCTCTCTCTCTCTCTCTCTCTCTTCTAATTTTTAATTCTATCTAAATAAATCCAATTATTGTATTCGTTCCCATTTTCGCGAACGGAGTTTTTCAAACTCCTACAGACAGCATCCTTCCGTCCGACGGCACGGCGAACGTTTCTCGCACAAGAACGAAATAACTTTGTCATCGTAATTTATTACGAGACATCGTTGACCAATGAATTTTCATATTCATTACAATATAAGCATTACGAATGATAATCAATTCAATGTCTAATTTCAGTAATAACGAAATATTGATCGTTTCAATATCGTACGAACAATGATATACGACAAATATCCAACAATCTTCGTATTTCGACATAACAAACCGTATGTATAATCGATTGTGGAAAATTTGATTGAAGGAAATGGAAAGAAAAGAAAAAGGAAAAGAAAAAAGGAAAAAAAAGGAAAAAGAAAAGAGAGACAAAGAGAGAGAGAGAGAGAGAGAGAGAGAGAAAAAGAGAAGACAAAATGACAGTATAGAGAAACAAAATTGATTCATATGATTTGCCGTCGCGTCAGGCAGAAAACAAACCTTTATTTTACGATCAAATCAAATGAATACAATATTTGCTGGCAAAATGAGAAAAAATGATAAAGGAACCAAAAGAAGAAAGAGAAAAGAAAAAAAAGGGAGGAGGAGGAGGAGGAGGAGGAGGGGTGGGTTGGGGTGAGGAGGGAAAATTGGTTGTGGAAAGGTGGAAGAAAAGGAAAACTGAAAAGAAATAACTTACGTTCCGTTATCGGCAATGGCGGGCTGAGGCCAGGCACGTGGCACAGGTTCCTCCTTGAGTATTTGCCTCATGTCCTGAGGCGCGAAAACGAGAGGAGCGCGTGGGTGGTGATGAGGCGGCGGGGGTGGTGGGGCAACGCTCGCACCGTAGAGCTTCCGTCCCCAATGTCCCTCGAGTTCGACGGGACTTCCGCCTCCGGTGGTGGCACCGGTGCCACCGGCGGCACCCAAGCCTAGCCATGGCGACCCCCCAGCACCCACGATCGTGGAGCTGGGCAGGAGACCGCTCCACTCGTCGGACCGCGTTGTGAAGCCGTAAGGTATCTCCTGCGGCAACAGCCTTCCTTCTTCTATTCTTTCTCACTCTTCAATATCACCGTAAAAAATAAACGACGAGAGAAATAACTATTTTTTAAATATTTAATCCTCCACCCACGAAGATCGACAAATACCAAACGATTCCCCTTATCGATTCCTTTTTTAAGTTCATCGATATTTATCCAATCCTTCCCACGTGACGAATCTCTCTCTCTCTCTCTCTCTCTCTTTCTGTTTATATATGTATATATATATATATATCTTTTTCTGCGTTTAACTTAGATTTTTGTTATTTTCTTCTCCTTCTCGTTGTTATTGTTGTTGTTGTTGTTGTTGTTATTGTCGTCGTCGTCGTCTTTCTCTTTGATAAAAGAGAGTAGAAAAGTACGAAAACCGCGTGGCTGCGCGCGATCATTCGCTTGGCACCTCCCCCCCCCCGTTCCCCCCACGAGAGTACGATCGATCGCGCACTCCCTCACGTGTCTTTCACAAAAAAGCACTCGATTACCGCGAAAACTCACTCTTTCTTTCCTCTTGCTTTCTGTCTCTCTCTCTCTCTCTCTCTCTCTCTCTCTTGGTCGCTCTCTCTCTCTTTTTATCTTTCTATCTCACGTCGATACTTTTCCTTCGTTCGTTCGTATTAGAAACACCACTATTATTACTCCTCTCACTCAATATTTTCTTTACTTTCTGTCTTCCTTCCTTCCTTCCTTTCGTCTCTCGTTATTTCTTCTTCCTCTTCTTGTCGATGCTTACGAAATTCTTACTCCATTTTGCCGTCCTCGTCGTCTTCCTCGTCGCTTTCAGAACGAACGACAACGACCGAAGAGGAACGCGTATGATGATCGTTCAGAGAAGTCAAATCGACGATCGGATCGTCGTATGTTACGTGTTCACGTGTATGGATATACATATACACACATATATATATATATATGCGTACGTTGTATGTACGTGTACGTGTACGTGTACGTGTACGTGTATGTGTACGTGTACGTGTATGTGTATGTGTACGTGTATGCGTATGTATACGCGCGTATATGTATATATGTATATACGTTCCAAGTACGCGTGGGTGTTGTTATCTTCTCTCTTTCTTGCAGTTTGACGTCCAAGAGAAGAGATCACGTCGTCGTGCTTGTCGTCGTCTCGCGCGCTGCAGAACAGCTCGAGTGCGTTTCCACCAAGCGAGGTCCCCAGCCGCGCGTTGCTTCCCGTTACGGCGCCGCTTGTCGAATGTGTCAGGGCCGGCACGAGCGGCGTGCCAGCGAGTCCCAACGGGCTCGGCCCACGGGAAAGCTCTCCCGTTGGTGGGCGAGGCCGTACGAGGCCGAACGAGCCGCGCCGCGCACACCGTTTCGAGACCTAATTCGACACGCCCATTTTTCGTCATGGACCAATCATAATACCATACGATGGCCAATCAGGGAAGCTCTGCGCCGACCTTATGACACGCCTATTACCGTCGCTTACGACACTGGCGCCGCCGTGGTCGTTCCCCGAGGTTTCTCATTGCGGTGCGCGCCGCAAACCAAGCGACCTCGCTGTGTCGGTTCTCCTCTCGCATTTATTCCATCACGACGTTTCTTCGATCTGTAGATCTGTTCTTTTTTTGTTTTTTTCTTCTTTTTTTTTTTCTATTAACTTTCATATGACATTTTCTTCTTACGTTTTTCTTTCTGTCCCTTTTTTTTCATTCTCTCTCTCTCTCTCTCTCTCTCTCTCTCTCATTTACCTTTGTCTTTCTGTTCTTTTTTTTCTTCTTCTTCTTCTTGTTTTTGTCTGGTTTTCTTTTTCTTTTTTTTTTTTTTTTTTTTTCATACTCACGTTACCTCCTCGTTCATTTTTCCTATAGGTTCTTATTTCGTTGTATACGTTTCTTCTTTTTTTTATTATTTTTTTTTTTTTTTTTTTTTTTTTCTTTGTCTTGTTTCTTTTCCTCAGAACTCAGGGCACGTTATAAGACATGGTCCGAGCGTATTTACTTCTTTTATCTGTCTTGTTCTTTTCGAAAAGAAGAAAAAAATGTTAACATTCTTGTTGGCCTTTTTAAACAAGCAACCAGTCGAAAACCAGCATGTAGAAGAACATGTAATTGACCAATTTCCGACGTATTTAGCTTTTGATCCCCTTAAACGATTGAATACCATAGACGTACGAGAGACGATTGCGTTTATCGCGAACACAAGAACGGATATATCGTCTGTATGCAAAGTACGACATCGGTAATTCCTGTGATTCGATCAACGATCCTACCGTTTAAAGTACTACTTCGAGATAGTTTTGCCGTATTGCGCTGGTGAGTCTTGATAATATAAGGGGAAACTATTCGAGGTGGATCCGAGCAAGAAGAGATTTGAAAATCGCCGCGAGGGACTTACTCGCCAGGAGGAGGATGAACGACGAGAATCGACAAGAATCGACTAACTCGCGGACATTCCGAAAGGTGCCAACGACGAGCTAACTTCGCAAACGCACGTGCGCGATACTAACTCGGCATCGAGTTAATGCGCTTGGTGGTGTCAGTGTCCTTTTCTATGGTATGCCGGTTTACGTTGTAACGCACACTAGACGCGTTTAATGACGGCTATGCCTCGCGTAGTCGCACCTAGTAGACTTGGCTCCAGTTTTTATCGAACGGCAATCAAGTACCGGGAACTACGTGATCTCTCCCTCAGGAGGAGAAACACCGACTCGTCGACTCGATTCTTCTCCTCCGCTTCAGTGCCGCTTTATTCCTCTCGATTCGTAGTCACCTATCCTCCAATTACGGATCGACACCTGTGCGAGTTAGTCTTTAAAGAACTACTCTTTCGTTACCAACGAAAGACATTCAGAAAAAAAACACCATCGAGTAGTTCTTCTTCGATCAAGAAAGAATCTAAAGGGGGAGGGATTTGAAAAAGTAATTATGAAATCTTCTCTCCGAAATAAATTTATTATCCTCGACGGAGGGTCGAATTTAGGGAGTAGAGAAAGAGGGAAAGAGAGAGAGAGAGAGAGAGAGAGAGAGAGAGAGAGAGACAAACTCTTCTTTTTTTTATCTCTCCTCAAGTTATTTCTCCACGATTGAGAATCACTGCGCGGAAAAAAAGAAAAAATACGGGCTCTATCGAGTAAAGATAATGCGTTCTGTAACGGGTAATTTGCCATTTCTTCCCCCCACCTCACCTCATCCCCCCCCCTCCACAAGACTCCCTGTACCCTTCCCTCCACTCGTTTCCTTCTTCATTTCATGAACTTGAAAACTTTGACATTCTTCTTCGTTCCCTCGCGTATCTTATGTTTCCCAACGATCTTGATATCTCACTTTGCTTTCTGATAAAATTAAACTACCGAATTCGAACGTTATAGAATCAATAGCCACGTTTATACGTCGCACGAGAGTATAATGAAGAAATTTAATGAGGGTCTGCAGGCGTCGTTGCGAAGCTTGGGAGATGAGCGCGTGCCAAACCGGTTTCAATCTTCCTTTTATTTTCTTTTTTTTTTTCTTCTTCTTCTTTCTTCTTTTTTTGTTTAAAGCCTTCTCTCTCTCTCTCTCTCTCTCTCTCTCTCTCTCTCTCTCTCTATCTGTCTTTTTCTTTTTCTCGCTCGCTCGTTCATTCGTTCGTTCGCTTGCTGCTCGCTCGTTCGCTTCGTTTCAGTGCCGTGATTCATGAGATCCCTCTTGGTTGCCCAACGGCCTGTAACATTGCCACCTTATGGCAACGACTTCGCGTCTGGAGTACGAAAGCCCATTTGGAAATAACGCTCCTCTTGCTTCTTTGACACTTTCTTGGCCGAGAAATACCTCTTAGCTTTCCAACAAAAAAATTCCATATGCTGCCATACGATGATGAAATAAATCAGTAGCTCCTAAGAAAAAACGTCTATAATTATTTATACATATACATGTACGTACATATTTTTAATTAAAAAACAAAAAATATATATATATATATACATATATATTTTTTTTTTTTTAATAATTTTTTTAATTTTTTATTTTTTTATTTCATTTATCGAACTCATCGATACGACAGATTTCAAAAGATCATACCTGATATTACGAAAATCATAAATATCATCTTTTTACGATTTATTTTTGACTTTGATCGATGATGAACGATATAATGAATGCACGTACGTCAATTCGTTCTTCCAATTCATAATTGATTCTTCCAATTCAAATTGAATGAGTTTACGTTACTACGTTAAAACGAAACAAAATAAAAAATAAATAAATAAATAAATAAATATATAAAAAAAAAAAAACATATTTTAATAGATCCATCAATAGGATGAGTTTCAATGAGAATAAATATATAAAATGAGGGACGCGTTAATAAATACGTAAATAAATATGATTGAATAAATAAGTAAAATATTCCCCGACACTATGTGTATACGTATTCTTAAACGCATCGAAAATATTCGAACTAATCCAATAACAAACGGTGTCAGGGTGCCTAAGTATTCGAATGATGTCAAATGAACATCGGCGTACCGGCGAGATCCAATTACCGGCATGGAAGGGTCGGCCGGACTTCTCGGGATGTTGTCATGGGCTTGCAACGGCTTGCAATGCACCCCGCAATGAGAAACACGCAAAAGAGACACTCTAAGCCTATTACACAGCTATGATAATATTTCGATCCTGGTTTTCCTGTTTGTCCTACTCCGTCAATTCAACCATCTCCCTATAAGCTTAAATGTTCGCGAATAAAACTGTCAATGAGTTCGTTCTGTCTCTCTCTCTCTCTCTCTCTCTTTCTCTCTCTTTCTTTTTCTTTTTTTCTCTTTCGATCGTTTTCACTTTTTAATCGACGGACGACGATAAGAGAAATGTGTCTTTTTTCTTCTTTTTTTCTTTTTTTTTTTTTTTTTTTGTAAAAAGCGACGAGAAAAAAATCAGATCCAGAAAAAGAGAAGGGTGACTAGGTGATTAAGTTCGTTAAAAAAAAAAAAAAAAAAGAGAGAGAGAGAGAGGAAAAAAAAATCTAAAATAGATAGACGTATGTATGTTCGCGAAGAGACGGACGCACTTGTGAAA